TTCGTTCGAACCCCCCGAACCCCCCCTGGCTACGGGCCTGCGAAGAGTAAGTGTCGGATAAACTTTTGACCCTCAAGAGGAGGGTTAAACATGGATTTGTTGACTGTTAACAAAAGACTGAACTGCTTTTGCTATTAGAGCCCATGCACTACCACCACAACTACGCTCCACCTACACTACCATCAATGATAAAATGTTAATATAGAGAAGTCATTAAAGTAACACAGCTGCATCTTTATTACTGTACTACGAGTAGGTATAGCAAAGCCTATCATAGATTTTAGATCTGTATTAGTAGTATCCTAGATATATGCTCTGAGCGCGAACGCGGTGGCAGGAGGGCCAACTTGATTCGGTTGCCAGTGAGTTTATCAGAAGTATACCTGGCTACAGTACACGTCAATTGAGCGCTGTCGCTCGGCGGCACTTCCAAAGTGTAACAGAATTTATGAACTGAAGTATAGATGAGTGGAAGCATTATTTTTAAGTTTTCATCATAATTTTTAACATGTGTTCTACCGAGGTTTTTGACCTAAAAACATTTGATATTGTATTTGTTTAATTTGAAGATGTATATGTTAGGATATTTCATGTTTTCCATCGGGTTCCTTGACATAAAAACAGGCATAGATACCTAGATTTTAGTAATCGTGGCACGTATAGCCATTTTATGGCAAAGAAATGCGTTTGTGGCAGCCATTTTGGATTTAGTTTTTTTGGCGGGAAGATATTTTATGATAGATCACATGTGTTCTATACCCGTTCTATGGGGTTCATTGACCTCAAAAACATATGTATAGAGACCAAGATCATGGTACTTGGGGCACTTACAGCTGATTTATGGTAAAAACTGTGTTTTGTGGTGGCCATTTTGAATTTTCAACTTTTTGGCGGGAAGATATATCTACTACATAAATGGGGGAATCTGTCTGTCCCTCTGTCCGTCTATCTTCTCGAGACCCGTAACAGGTGACCCCCAACACCATATATATTCTGAATCAGCATGACGCCACGACCATTTAAAGCCAAAAAAAATTGCAAATTAAGCCAACAAAATATGCAAAAAAAGCCAAAAACATCAAAAACGACCGTATATGTACGTGAACTATCTATGGTGTCATGTGACATCGGGTGCTATAGTTATTTATTAAATCTTACCATTTATTCCATTCTTTGTCAAATGTTCTCATACATGATTCCTATGTTTATTATGTCATTATGTCTTTCTTCCATGGCCCGATAGGGGCATGCAACAAATAAAATTAATTCAATCCAATGCATAAAATGTTATTGGACGGTGGCGCCCCCGCGAATGAGCGGTACATTTTCGAACGATTTTGGTTTTGATTTTGGGTGGGTTCGGGTGCAAAGCAGTGAATGCAGCCTGCAGGGAGTACGCTTTGTCAGTTACAGCGCTCGAGAGGTGTGTATACGGTTCAGTGTGTAACGCAAGAATATCACAGTCAACGATACGCCAATCTTTTGTCTGTGGTTGTGATGAACGCATGAATTGCTGTTAAAGACTGCTATACAGTATATAAGGTATAAGTGTTACAGTATTAGTAATATTTATAATAATATAATATTATATCTCATCAAACCCCCCCCTCCCCTCTGCGAATGACCGGTACATTTTCGAACGAGTTTGGACAGATTCCCCCATTTATGTAGTAGATTTATGTATGTAATAAGGGGAAAAATAAGGGGAAAAAGAGAAAAGGGGAGGGGGAGGGAGGGGAAGGGGGAAAAGGGAAAGGGAGGGCGA